TTTCTTAGGTCCTGGTCCCCAACATCCCACAGTGTAGGGATGGAACATAGTAGTAACATAATAGTAAATTCCTGCGATTTCTAAACCGTTACATAAATCTACATCACATGGCTGCCATAACAGTCCATCTTTTTTATAGGGTCCAAGTATTGAATGGCCATCTCTTGCTACTCCAATAACCATAAATGTTTTCTCTTATTGCTTCATGAAAGATAGTGAATAGGCAAGAGTGTCTGTCAAACAAGCTGGAATATTTCTGCAAGTTTATGCTACTGCGGTCTTTGTTGGTCCAGAAGGTAGAATACAAGGAGACCAAGCATAGTAATGATAATATCCAGAATATTCAGAGCTTCCCAAACAATCATCTAGTTAAATCTTTTTATTACTATAGATCTTTTTGCCGAATTACTTAGGATAGTATACGTCTGATCCATATTCAGAATTTCCAGTATGAATTGGAACTCCATTTAATGCGATACCTACAATGCTTTCGAAATAGCCAGAGTATTCTGTGTATTCAGGATCAATTGATTGTAAAAATCCTGCTTATGTCCATGATCCATCACATAGAGCTCTATTCACGCTATCTTAATCATCTCCATCAAAGGTTGATGTATTGATTAATTCATCTTCTGATGCTAGAATTCTGTTCATTCTTTGACTGTTTCTGGGCTTATTCTTGAATCTTACTTCAAAATCAATTGAGTTTTCTTTTGGTACACTTACTGAAGTATCTAAACAATGATTGGGCAATCCATTTGTTTGCATTCTTAGTTTAGCACCTGACTCAGATTTCAATTGTCTACCTGCTGAATCAGTTTGATCGACAGCATTGCAGACTGTACCAATCTTTCTCTTCCAAACACAGGGTGGACTTGAGCCATCTGGACAAGATGTCATTCCTTTACATGAAATAGTTTCGCCTCCATCCTATTCACTAGTGTCAAATGCGCTCACAACTTCCTTGCATTATTTGACAGCTGCAGGTTCTGTTGTCGTCGTTGTAGTAGTCGTTGTTGTCGTAGTTGTTGTTGACGTTGTTGTAGTGGTTGATACTGTGGTGGTAGATGGCTATTCGGTTGTATGAGTAGTTGTCGGCATTTCCGTAGTCTATAATTATAATAATTATTAAAGT